GCCAAAAAGGTTGCCCATCACTGGTGTAAGGGAAACTTCCTTCCTTCCTTCCTTCCTTCCTTCCTTCCTTCCTTCCTTCCTTCCTTCCTTCCTTTTCTTTCTGGTAAAAGGTTTTATTTTGCTTCTGAACCTGTAACATTCAGTTCTGGATGGTAATTTTTGCTCCTAATTTTTGCCTTTGCAAGATGAGAGAAGCGGAGATAATATGGATTGTATTCAAACGGTTTCTGTAGATGTGGAGCATGAAAATGGTGACAGTTGGAAGTGCTTCCTTCCTTCCAGCCTTCCTTTCCCCTCATTTTATTTATTGACAATAACTAAAGACATAGGTAATATAAAAAAATAGAAGATTTTTTCCCCCCCAATGAAGTTCAATCAAATAATGAATGCTTTGCTACAGGACTAAATTTCAGTAAGTTTACCAGCTAGCTTTATCCAGATTTCTTCTATTTAAGAGATGAATCTTTCTTTCTTCAGGCATTTTCGGTTGTAGAGCAAGAGAAGATAGACAACCTCATGCTGGAACTGGATGGCACAGAGAATAAATGTAAACCCAACTTTTTTCTTCATTAAAAAAAACAGGGGGAAAGATCATGAAGGGATGGCAAAAGAATAGCACAATCCAGTAAGACTAAGACTGAATGGCTAACTGTGAAGCAAGAGTGGGATGGGGCGGGAGCTACAATTTGGAATCGCAGTACTGTTGTATTCCTTTCAATCCACATTCAAAAGTCAAAAGCGAATAAAATCATAATTAATTGAGAGTGGGAGGTTTTATTAACACAGCTCGTAAAAACCACTCTTTTTACATTGTATTCTTACGCTCCAGCAAGAAGGCAAATTGAGACTAGTAAACTGACAAACATCCAAAAATTAAAGCAGGCGAAGGATTGGGGCCAGAAAATGAACTCAGATTCTGAATGCAAGAGAAGATGGTAGGGCTTAAACAAAGCAGCACACAAAACCCCTCCTTAAATTGCTTCATTTTCAGTTCTGAAAAAAAAATCTGTTTATTGGTATGATAAACAGAGCCGAAGATCACAAATATAAGAAGGCAACTGGATGAAAATGCAACACTTATTTGAAGCTTACTTGTCTAGTCCCTTTGTCCCAAAAGACACAATTACTTTAAATATGTTATCATTATCTATGCCACTTCCTACATTAATCTATTCTTTGTTGCTAAGGTTGTCTAAAGTCGAAGGCAAAAAAACATTTATTTTTGTTTCTTATTTTATGCTTTCTAAATACAAACATGTACTGTACACTATTTTGGGTTTGCTTTGACGTCATCCTTTTCCCGTTTGACACTACACATCTTATCTGGCAATACCAGTTTCTGTGTGCAGCTCTCACTATGCCACGCAATGCTGAATATAACCTTGGTCCCAAAATAGATTCTTTCCCATGTTAGAGAATTAATGGGAAGAAGAATTCCAATCGAATTGAATGAGCTAGAGCTACCTAGAATTGTAGTGCATTTTTCTTGATCTCTTACTCCTACATAAATCTTTCCAGTCTCCTTCAGCACAATATACATTTTGAGGGAGCAAGGGAAATTTCTGGAATTTTTCAAATAAAATGATGAAAGTTGAAAGAAAAAAGATGAGAAAGTGAAAAAAGATCAGACTAAAAGAAGAAAGAAAACGATGAGTCAAAAAGGGAATAGCCCCTCCCATTTTCCACAAACACTGGAAACAATGCAATCTATCTGTTGGTTCTTTCCCATCCTCCTTTGGGGTAGACTTAGGCTGCAAAGCACTGCCACTGTCATGCTAGACTTCTCTCTCTGCAGAGAACAATGCAAATAATTTATGTCTGGATGCGGTTGATAGAAACACATAACCAATCCCACTTAAAGCAGCATGGCAGACCAGTATAAAGCTGTTCTGCTAAACTGACCTCTCTCTCTTGTTTTGAATACACGCTTTTGATGCTGGACTCTCCTTATGGATTGTTTCCCCAGTAGTGCTTGGAGTGGATGTATTTTGGCAGGATCAAATGCAAAGGCCTATCAGGATTGGCTTTGGAGATTCTACACAGTGGCTCCAAATCAATACTGATTGAATGTATGCTCTGTGTAGTTTAGAACAAATAAGCATATTCACATGGGATGGACCCAGTGGTGGGTTGCCAATGTTTTTACTACCGTTTCGAGCTTGCTCCCGTGCATGTGCAACACTTCTGCACATGCGGTTCTGGGTGGGTGGCCATGGCCTCCCACTGCTGCTACTACCAGTTCGGCAGAACCGGGCCGAATCAGGAGCAACCCACTACTGGATGGGCCTTAGCAGTAACAGCCAGGTGAAGAGAGACCAGCAAAAATACATTTCAGGTATATGAGAGGAAACCAAGTGCACCAAAGATGGATTCTAGCTGAAGAGCTCTGAAGAGCAGAGGAGGGAAGTGTTAGCTTCCCTCTGAAAAGAAATGAACTGCTACTGTTTGCAGACTACTCTTGGGTAGGAAACCCAATGGAAAACTTTGTGGCAAAATTAAAAGATACTACCAAAGCCATGCAGGTAACCCCAGGACAGATTAGTAGCAGATGCTGTGGGGTAGCCGGATACTGGTAAAATTTTTGGGTCATAGGTCTTTTGCTGTAATCTCTGATTATGCTATATTCTAATCCATTTTGCAAAATTCACAGCTAAATTTGGAGCTAATGCCATCCTGGGTGTTTCCCTGGCTGTCTGTAAAGCTGCCGCTGCAGAGAAGGATGTACCCCTGTACCGTCATATTGCTGACCTGGCTGGAAATTCAGATCTCATTTTGCCAGTCCCTGTAAGAATCTGGTGATGTTTTCTTGATTTCACACCCATAAAACATAAAAAGTATGGAGCAGAGAGTCAGGTCACAACAGATTGAACAAGATCCAAAAGAACTGGATTTTCCCCAATGCACCATACACCTTTATAGTCCTTTGCATGCATGCTAGCTTTATACCCGTATTAAATATACTGTAGGAACTTTCAAAGCTTACCTTTAGGGTTATGGTTATAAATATGGTATTTTAGTTCTATGTAAAAGCAAAATACTTCTAACAAAATGTTCTTCGCCTCTTTATTCAATCACAATACCTAGGATATTTAGAGATGAAAAAAGCCATTATGATTAAAACAATTTCAGACCATCATTTACAACTCTAGTATGGTGCTTTAAGATATATCACTGAAGATCTCCTCTTCTTGTTCTTGTTGCTAAATTCTTCCAGGCTTTTAATGTGATCAATGGAGGGTCCCATGCTGGAAATAAACTGGCCATGCAAGAGTTTATGATCTTGCCTGTTGGAGCTGAAAGCTTCCGGGATGCCATGCGCATTGGTGCTGAAGTCTATCATAATCTCAAGAGTGTCATCAAAGACAAGTATGGTAAAGATGCCACCAATGTAGGAGATGAAGGGGGCTTTGCCCCAAACATCCTGGAGAACAGTGAAGGTGAGAAAAAAAGTACAGCACTAAGAGATACTATACTTTGAAAGAGAAGTCTTTGAAAATCTCACTTAGAAGGAATGTTCTAAATCCTTTAAAGACATGTTCCCTTCCTAAATAACCTGCCTCCATTTCTGCCTTTCAGCTTTAGAGCTGCTCAAGGAAGCCATTGAGAAAGCTGGTTATACTGATAAGATTGTGATTGGCATGGATGTAGCTGCATCAGAGTTCTACAGAGATGGCAAATATGACTTAGACTTCAAATCCCCTGATGATCCCAGCCGTTACATCTCTGCTGATGAACTGGGTGATCTCTATCAGAGCTTTGTACGGGACTATCCAGGTGAGTGACTACATATGGTCAGCCTCACTACTGAAGCTAAAAACACTGAGACTTCCTCTATTTGCAGTCAGGGGCATATTGTGATTTTCTCACCCCCCCCCCTTTTTTTTTTGCAGTGGTATCCATT